CAACGCATTCAGCTTGGTTCGTAATGAGGAGTTCCTGGCGAGGATTAGGTGTACCCTGGCAGAGAATTTGGGCATTGCAATGCAACATTGTCCGGAGGAGGGTCAGCCATTTTTCTTGGACCTCATGAGAGGGGTGTTGGAGAAGGCAGGTGATCCTGACTGGGCCTTCTTGGAGCAGGCTAAGGTAGGCTTGCCACTGGGCATCTTGAATCAACGTCCTCGTACGCCTGAGATCTTCGAGGAGCAGCTTCGTTGGAACCTGGAGAGTGAGGATTGGAGTAGTGCGGTTTGGCAGAAGGAGAGCTACGTGTCAGCTGCAGAGCATGAGAAATACCTCACAGAGCACCTGGAGCAAGAAGTTGCGGAAGGTCTGATGACCAAGATGAGCGAGGAGGCGTTTGTTGCTACATATGGTGAGGACCGGGCTGTAGCGGCACTAGCAGTCTTGGTTGAGGATGAGGTGACAGGCAAGAAGCGGGTGATACATGACGGCACGCACGGTGTCATGGTGAACCACAAGATTCGCTGCAGAGACAAGGTCAGGATGCCGGGGCCTCGAGAGAAGCGGGCGCCTTGGCGAAGTCTCCCACAAGGGACAGAACTGTCTTCTGCTCTGCCTCATACTCTTCAAGCAGGGCACAGGCGCTTCAAGTATGCGGCGGAGGAGCAGGGCTTCTTGGCGTGCAAGGCGTCCTCGAGTTCGAGCATTGTTTATGTGAACAAGGTTGGGACTTTTGGGATAGCTTCAACTCCGTACTGGTGTGCACGGCTGAGTGCGGCTCTGATGAGGCTAGTGTATAGGGTCCTCGGGGAGGGTTTCCCGAATGACATGCTGTTGTATGCAGACGACCTGGAGGTGTTGACAATTGGGCGTGAAAGACGGATCGGAGGTGTCCTTGCCTATGCGCTCATGGCAGCACTTGGAGCCCCGTTCAAGTGGGCGAAGCAAAGGGGTGGTTTGACAACGGAGTGGATTGGCTTGACCACCGGTTACAGCAGCTTTGCAATGGGGCTGTCTGTCAAGAGGGCTGAATGGGTGCTGGGATGGATAAGGTCGCTGAGGCTGCGGAAAGAAGTCACCTACAGGGAGTTCGCTGCAGGTCTGGGGCGTCTGGGTTTTTCCGCTCTTGCACTTCCGTGGGAGAGGCCATTGTTAGGCCCACTATACGCCTGGGCATCAGCAATACAGTCAAACCGGGGTGCATTGACAATTCCTTGGGCAATACAGTTCATTCTGAGTTGGATTGCAAAGAGGCTCAAAGAAGGTGGCCGCATGGAAGCAGTCAAACGCCCAGTGTTCCAGGATGGCAGCACGCTGAGGATCTGGACAGATGCCAAGGCGACGGAACATGCTGCTTGGATTGGAGGCTGGCTTGAGGAGTCGTCCGACAGCAAGGCTTGCAGATGGTTCTCGTTCAAGGTCACGGAGAGTTTTGCACCCTGGTTGTTTTTCCGGGGAAAGAACCCAAAGAGGGTCATAGCTGCATTGGAGTTGCTTGCTACGCTTGTTGCCCTTAGGCTTTGGCTGAAGGGTGGGGGTGCGTCTGCTGAGATATATGCGGAGGCATTCACAGACAACCGTGGCAACTCCTTCATTCTTCGCAAGGGGTTGTCGACCAAGTACCCAGTTACATTGCTGGTGATTGAGGTTGCAGAGACGCTCAGAAGGTATGATGCCTATGCGACTCTGACTTGGGTCAGGCGAGACGGCAATGAGCTAGCTGATGCACTGACAAACGAGGACTTCAGTGCTTTTGAACCTCAGAGGAGAGAGCTTGTTGGAGAGGATCAGTTTCAATGGTTTGTCATGGACGAGCTTTTGAGAGGAAGTGAGGAGCTCTTCAACGAGATCAAAGAGCACAAGGTCATGAAGAAGGAAGCGAAGCACAGTGCAGGACCTGCAAAGAAGAAAGCAAAGAAATTTTTCGGCAGGTGGAACTCCTGACTGAGATCGGGAGAGACTGTGTCAGGGACGCTCCCTGGCACAGCCGGCAGGAGGTCCAACCAACGCGACGAAAACAAGAGTCCTTGTTCGTGCGGTCGTTTTGGTTTCTTACAAGCCCTTGTGTTGAATTCATTCATGACATGTCATGACAGAATTTCACACAACCGCTTGGAGGCTCGAGGGTAGGTGTTTTTCAGCTTCCCTACCCCCCCCTCCCTGAAAATCACCTGACAGGCTGGACGCACTCCAGTCAAGGTGCACCCGCGACGCTCGTGGGCGGGAGAGACTGTGTCAGGGACGCTCCCTGGCACAGCCGGCAGGAGGTCCAACCAACGCGACGAAAACAAGAGTCCTTGTTCGTGCGGTCGTTTTGGTTTCTTACAAGCCCTTGTGTTGAATTATACAATTCATACTGCAAAGGTTGCTGTGGTTTCTTGTTCATATGACGGATGCCTTATCATCAGGTTCACTCAGAGTCAGAGTTCAGACGTCAAAGCATTCACCCATGCGTCTGAAACTGACGTTGTTTGGCATGACAGTTTGACTGAAAGGTTTCTGGTATATTGTGTATATATATATATAAAGTATATTGAAACTTGAATTGCTGAGGAGTACCATTTGCAGATAAAAATTCCCTAGATATCCCTAGACCTTCTCCAGTTCTGTCAAATAATCCTTGAGATTTTTGCGGGCAATTTGAGGATTCAATGCACCCGCAGTTGCATGTCTCCCCGGATGGCAACACCAAAAACTCGTGGTACAGTGTACAGGACTGCCTGCGCCGGCATTGCTCCGAGTCGCCTGTTCAAGAAGCCAGCTCTGATCACGAGCTAGGATCAGGCCAGTGGGAGATATGCTTACAGAGTGAGAGTCCCTTTATATAGCCAAACTCTTCGAATGCAGAATTAGTTGGTTTTGTATGTTTTTTGCATTGACAAGAAGCATATGTCTTATCAGCGACCTTGGCAGCACCCGATGCTTGTGGCCGGGTTGGATCAACTAGTCTTGCATGTAGTTTTGGTGACATCATCATACATAACCTACTTATCCATGTCCATGCTCACCTGTTCAATCATGTGTTGTGCAGGTGATCGGCAGAACTCGAACTGGTCTGGTCGTTCTGCGCGAAGCGAATTGTAGCTTGGCCGCAGAGAACCTTTCTTCTACAAGTCTCTCTCTCTCTCTCTTTCTTTGCAAGTAGCACCAAAAGATGCTCTGCAAATCCTTTGGCCTTTATGAATTCAGTGCAGAGACCACTTGTCGAAAAGGCGCATCACAGGTGCCTAGGGCTGGCCAACATTAGATTCCTGCTTCCTTTCATTGTCCTTCCACATGATATTATTGTCATATTGATGTAGAGGGCTGAATAGGTAGCAGATCCTTCCAAGGAGCATTCTTTCTACTGATGTTTGACCTTCAGATGTTCTCTTTCACATCTGTGTAGCATCGGAAGACTCTTACGGAGCTCGTCCTTTTCTTCAAGACAGTGCCTGCTCGAGCAGCACAACTGGCACAGATGCACTTTTCTACACTCACACTTTGCAAATGTTTCTACTATTTTTTCTTGTGTATGTATGTGTGTTCGACTTTATATCGCAGATATATACGTTTGATTTAGCGGGTTGTGTTTGAGATTCTTCATGGATAACTGATCCGACCTCCATTAGATTGCTGCATGAGTGAAGCCGGTTGCTTCAATTGTGATAACGCATGTATACTCTGAATTAGTCGCTCATTGTTTAGAAGGCAACTCAAAATTCCTGATTCACCATGGGAAGCCCGGCCGCTTGGATGTTTCTTTGTGCTGTGGTGAATCGTTTGGTCCCACATGAACCCACAAACTGGAATCAAAAAGCTTCACAGTTTGCTCAGATTTCTTTGTTTTCGATCCAAGGTTTGGCAGCGAACGGAGACTGGAAGATGCTCGTGGTGGTATGGGTGGCTGTTTTGCGATGATGGGTCATTCGGTAGGGTTGATCCGTTGGTTCTATCGGTTGGAAAAAAACGTTTTCCACACAGCCCTTTTTCCTACAATTGCCAAAGTTTATCCATATTCTTCATTGGTGAAAAGGCTGGAGAGATGTTGTAGATCACGTTGATGTCAAGCTAATGGTTGCAAAAGATGGAATGGTCAGGTTTCAATCTGTCCAGATCTCAATGTTCCAAACTGTTCACTCGAAGTGACTAATTGCTGCATTTCATTGCTTGAGGTCTTGGTGCAAGACTGGACAGCACATCAGACGTGTCCACTTGTGCTAGATCTCGTTTGACTCATGCTGTTGTGCGTGTACAGTCGCATCCGAAAGCCCAGGTGGTGCTGGAGGAATGTGAGAAGATTTCCTTTTGGTTTGCCTGGCTGGTTCACCCGCAGTTCTCTTGAAAGACGTGTTGATCAATAGTGCCGGATGCTTGACCCGCTTCGCTTGGACTCTCGTGGGTCAGGGACAGCTGCCGCGAGCATATTGTTTTATACTGATTTTGTATAGGCTACTGTACAACAAGTCCGTTGCTGCGATGTTACTTCTCTTCCAGCTCCACTGGCAGGAAGATAAGTTCCAAGTCGCAAGGGCAAGGCCAGGCAGGCTTTTGAACGCCCCTGGTATTGGAAATGACAATGATGCAGGAAAAAAGCTTGCATCGCTGGGCAATCAACACCTCTTTTTAGGTCTTGAGCTTTGTGCGCCGACCGTGCCAGTTTGGATTCACAAGCAAGCATGTTATGCCACCCAACTGTAAACATGCAGGACCGAGCAGGATTTATGTCTATTCCGCCTGGAGAATTAGGGGAAAGGGATGTATAGAAATGTCGTCAGGTCCCTACCAAATTGGAAAAACATATATATATATATGTATGTATAAAAGAACCCAGAGAACACAGCTCCCGGGAAGGGGGAAGGGCCTGCGAGGTCGTGTCCTTGAGCAGGGTCCAATGTGAGAAACACATAGAAACACTCCAAAATAGAGAAGTTACTAGGGGCTCCTGGCCTTACTACTAGGAGCAAGGACGCTACTAGGGGCTCCTGGCCTTACTAGTACTATGCTTGCTTCACCTGAGGCTTATCATGGAGCGCTTGAAGGCTTTGAAGGTGTGCTCGGCCCTGGGCAGCCACTTGGCTTGACTCATGATATGTACCCAGGAATTGCATTCAATGAAGCTTATTCCCTTGCATATTTGTGGTGGGAAGATTGTGGTTTGTACAGGCCGCCGCAGGCTGCAGAGTTGCGATCGACCGCTAGAGGCTAGAGGTGCCATAAGGGTTGGCAAGTTGGAACCCTCAACAAGAACAACTTTTATCCTAGTGGTGCAAAAGCATAGGAAAAAGTACATATTTCAAATTGTGTAAAGAAAACATATAAAGGGCCAGTTTAATCAGGCTTCAATGTGTCTCTCGCTCACGGATGGTTCAAACAGTTGGTTCACGGGCATTTCACAGCTTCAACAGGCTCAGTCAGCAGTCTAAGAAGCACTGTAGCGGCCCTTGGTGAAATGGAGAAGTAGCTCCTTCCATCTCCCTTCAAGCTCATTTGAGGCTGGGCCGAGGGCGCGCTCTCTTGCCCATTTTTGTGGAACATGACCGTCAGTCCCTAAGCTTTGGGGGCTCTCGAACGACCTATCAAAGGTAAATGCAGGGTCTTTTGGTCTTCACAGAGTCGGCAATGGAGAATGCGCAATGGCATAGGAGTCGGCAACATGTGTGTGCTGTGTGTGTGATTTGTGAAGATCTTGCGATGTGCCACACTCAGGTGCATTGCATCCAGAGCGGCAGGCCGGCTGTGTCCGAGCGTGCGTGTTCATGCCCAGAGAAGATGACACAACTCACTAAAGCAAAACAACACTGTGCCGGCCAAATTTGACAGACTTTGCTTTAATTTGCAAGAGTTTTTATATATACAGTATATATAACTAGTGGATGAGACCCAAATTAACTGTTCCAAAGGCCGCTTATCTCTCCCTAGTCCCTCAGGTGGACCACGGAAAGAAATGTAAAGGCGACGTGCAGATAATTTTTACGTGTTCATACAAGATTTATATATTCAATATTACATCAAATCAGTTCACTCAAGAAACTCAGAGACCTTGCATTGGAATGGCAAGAGAACCAATGACGAGTGGAGGGCTGCATACATGTCTCTCGAAAGAAGCCCTTGGGGCTAATTCACCCAATGATCAGCCATTCTGCCCCTTTCTGCCTATCCCCTCAGGCATGTGGCAATTGAAAGCAGTTCGCAGATTCTGACCTGTTGTAGGACTCCCTTGTGCCCCCGCAAAAGCCAATGTTGACTTGAGCCAGATCACAAAGGAGGGGGATGTATGATATGATGACATCACTCCCAGCGATACAGCTGCTCGTCTTTGAATTCTTGATACCACGCATGGGCTCAAACGAGACCAAAACCGTTTCCATGTTGCCAAGATATGTGGGACATGTCGCCGGTTCGAAGTATGCTCGCTATCTATGCTGCTCCAGGCATTGCTCATGGCCCTGGCTGCACTAAAGGATCAGAAGGCATGTTTCGGTCATCTTACTACCGAAGGACCTTCACAGTGGTATCTCCACCTAACAGGGAACATCACCAGCTTCAGAGTGCAAGGTGTCGTCTTTCCGGTATAACATGTCTAATTAAACCTAATTGAACTATAGTTTGGTCCTACCAGTCCAAGCGACTCAAGCAAAGTAAGCCAGGGAGCAAGATGCGCGCACCAATCGTGTGTTTTTTGTTTTCCATGCCACCCTGACAGGTGCCACCAGTCATGATATTGCTACTATTGGATATTAAAAGTACTTTGTTGGCCTTCTCAGACAGCATAGAAAAATAAGTTGGTCCTGCCTTCGTGACGCAATGTTTAATTTTTAAATGCTTTATACGCTCAAACATTCACAGTCCCAGAGTGAACACATGAAATCTTCGGTCAACCTCCACAATCGGCCGTCGATTTGTTGCGCGAGATCTTGGGCTGTCCAATTCATTTCTGGCTTCTTCTTCGGTGTCTCTTGGTCTTGCAATGTCTTGCAACATCTTGCATCAAATTTCTGGTCAAATCCTTGTATCGGGTTTCGATCTGCAACACTTGGTCCCTACTGTAGGTGGTTGGTTGGGTAAACGAGTGAACCAGTGAGCGACGCTTGGTTGTTACCAATTCCTCTTTAGCATTTAAGTTCACTGCTCCCTTTGGAAACTCGCATCAAGGTTCCAGTCCTCTATGCTGCCCACACTGAAACCATGTAGACAGCCCTGGATGCTCTGGTGTGACTTGGGGTTCAAGTCTAGGACTAGGAGTCGAGTGGCCAAGAATCACATCATGCGCGCCACAAAGCAGAGTCGAACAAAGTGGCTTGGTGTCTTCCCGAGCCCAACTGCTGATGATTACTTTCTTCGAAAGTCATCCTGAGACACAAAAGACAGCGAGGCATGGATGCCCAAAAATAGACAATCCCACACAAAGGGAACATGTTCATAAGATTATATAAGATTGCCAACAAGTACACTTCCAATACTCTGTGATCGAATTTGTTCGTTGAATTCCGTGTGGCAGTCACCAAAAGCTCTTTGCAAGGATAGTTTCCACATGGACACGCATGATGCCATGGCGGCTCAGCAATGGCGTGTACCGACAAAGGTGGCGCTGTTTCTTCCTTGCTGTGCCACTTTGACAGAGGAATCAGCAGTCCCAATTGGGGGTGGTGCCACGGGTTTTTACGATCAGATTTGTCCAGGGTCAGCGCCAGCAGAAGACCCATTGGGACCCATTGTTCTGAAATGTTATATCTACCAAGAATGTGCCCAAAAAGGTAGCAATCTTGTAGCATCTTGTGGGAACCACAGAAGCAGCTGGAAAGGAAGGGCCACCTCCGACCGGAGAAATCAGGGAGGTGAGCCTCTTTTCCAGGGCAAGGGGTCGAAGAACCTGACGAGGGGCAGCCCCCCAACCCAGCGAGCCACAATCCGAGAAGGGATGGAATCCAACTCAACATTTGTTGCAAAAGGTGCAATAGAGCAGACGCGTTTTGCACGGGTGGTTTCTACCAATTGCCAATTGATTCCCAGAATTCAATGTTACTATTAAAAAGCACACAAATCACCCTTGTGAACAAGTGAGACGCCTAGCAAGGGCGTTGAGTGTTGATTCTCTTCGAGGGTCAATATACGTTAACTCTCTATATAATATATATATAATATATACTGTGTTTTGCACTGCCATGAATGAACACAGGAACAACAAATGGTGACATCATGCATATGTGTTTCTCCTTCAATCAAGCAATAAACATCAAGGAGTTGACTTGAGCGAACAGCAGTTGAGCGAAGAGCCTAGGTGTTTTCGACCCTGGCATTGGGCCACGTTTTTCACCACTCGCTTGGCTGCTGGTCGTGGCGGTAACAGCAGCAAGGAAGGTGTGCAGTGTCTAAGAAGTGACAACACTGGACAGAGATGTATGATGTACAGATATGTGTAAAAAGTGTTCAGAAATGTCTTGATTTTGAGCAGCAGCGCCAAGTTGTTTCCAGTTCAGGGATTGGCCGGGAGTGCAAGAGCCACTTGCTCCACGTGGTCCCTTAGAGTTTCTTTTGTGAAAGCGCCGACGCAACACTCGCAACTGTCGACTTGTTTTCTGTCGACTTGTTCTCCTCATTTCTGTGTGGCGGACCGATCTGACACCAAGTGAGCATCCGAATGAAAGCGAGCTGACAGGCATTCGAGTGGTGACCTACAATGTCCTTTCACCCACAGTTTGTTCAGAGGACTCGTTTCCTCGCTGTCGGAGTGAAGACCTACAAGAAGCCTTACGCCCCTTGGTGTTATTTCGACATAAGACGACCCGACAAGCCGCTTGTAGCAACTCCTGTTTTTGCTTTAACTGACTGCACCAGAGGAATGCCTTCGGATTCAACTCGCTGGGTGCTTTTTTGAGGTTTGCAACGCGTGCTGACAAAGCTCCCAGGCGTCAACAAGAGGAGCACGCTTGAATTTTGGCAAGCAACAAAACAGCCATTGGGTGCAATGGGTGTGAATCAATCTACTTGACAGACTATATTGACTATATGACGATATAATTATTGATGACAAAATACAGTACTTCAGAAGGTAGAAGGTTTTGTTTTTTGCTGTAACATGTTGCATCATGGCTGCCATCCATGGAGGATTGGATTCGCATGCATTTTTGCCGAGCAGGTACAGCACCGGCAAACTTCCACACCCACTTAGACTCATGAAAAAATGCTCACAAGGCTTTCAGGTGTGGAAATCGGACCGCAAGATGTGGCAGTCATGTTCCAAAGGGTTCCCATTCCCATTCGCATTCGCTCACTACCAGTAGAAGTGGTACTCATTCTATTGCTTGACAGCATGTCCGACCTGGGGCCCTGGGGTCTTTACACCCTCAGGTTGGATGATGCTATTTCAACCCGACCAACAGCTTCTTGGCTTGACCATGCTTGACCCACCAAATCGAAGTTGTTAAGCTGGCCAAGGGTGGGTGGTTTTCAACTCTCAGACTCAGACGAAACAAATTTAGATCATCAACAATTTGTGATCAGTTTTAATGTTGCTGTTGCTCAAAGGACTTGTTTGTCGGTCTTTTCTTTCGCAGGAATGGCCTCCTGTCATGAAGCTCGCACGGTTGCAGCCTCCTCCCGGCCCCTCTCTGTCCAATATCGGATATCGTGATCTAACAAAAGTGCTGATACACTTTGAATGTCTACTAGGACTCGACCATGGAAAGCCCCTTTAACAAGCAATCTATATAATTATTGGTAGACCTGAAAGAAGGGACTACTGATGAAGGCAGTTCCATGGAACAAAATTAGACCAGATTCTGGCAGGAAGTGCCGTACGACATGAAGGCTGTCTTGAAAACGACAAGCTGTACAGTAGGTCTATCGGTAGAATATGTTCTCTTTTGCAGCATGATGGTGAGAAGTTACGACATCAACAGACACTACAATACCTTCAATCAACGCACAAACCAACCCGAATGACGGAGACTCAAAAAGCTGTTTTAGGTGACTGGGCTCAGGTCATTTGCTTGCAGGAAGTGACCGAGAAATGGGCTGGGGAGCTGCACCAACACTTCACAAGCATCATGGATGGCATCATGAGATGCTAGCCGTTGGTCCAAATACTGTAAAATCATGGACTAAGACCTTTCGTAGATGACAACTTATCAGTTTGTCAGTTCGTGAAGGGCTTTCTACCTGGGATGTTGAGGTGGTAATGATATTTGATCGCTACAATGAATCAGCTGAACAGAATTAAACTTGTCCAGAGTCCAAAAAGCAAGCTGCCTCGAGCTGTATTTCAGTTTCCCCAAATGATGGCCAAGACAGATACCTTTATGCGAACAATTCGGATCATGTACCTCTTCGATTGCCAGTACATCTTTGATATGAGGTTGTCACTTGTTGGCTTTGCATGAAAGTCAGCAGTAGGTACAGGTGGCACTCTGCACATATCAGAGTGGCAAGCATGTTCCCAAGCAGTCATCGGCCGCGTAACGAAGCTGTTCATCTCTTCAAGAAACAACTGGTTGGGCACAAGCAACTAGTTGCACTTCCCACGTCGTGAGGTAAGGATTGGAACTTCGTTTCTTGGATGCAGTCAGTGATTAAGTCCAGTATGGACCACAGGAGCCTTCAGATCCTTGCCTTGATCTATTTTGTTTGATTCATACTTCACACCGTGCGACTGCAGTAGACTCAGTAGACTGTATGTGACGGCGGGAAAGCCCAGCCACGGGGCGCGGTAGGGCAGAGGTGCAGCGCCAGACAATGCTCATCCATGCCCGTGCCCAAACAGTGCAATGTGCCATCCAAGGTCCAAGGCCTTTTTTTGGAGTCACCCAATGTCCAGTGTGTCTCAATTAGTAATTAGCAGGTTCATGCAAAAGCTGCGCATGGTTGGTTTGTGGGCTTGATTTGGGCTCCATGTGTGGTGACGGAGAACTCAGGGGAGAAAGCAATGAAAGTTAAAGAAAAAAGACCACAAAACAATGCATAACAATGCTATGATATATGCTATGGCCCTTAGCTGCTTAGCTGTATTTAAAGCACGTGTCCGTTGAACTTGTAGTGGCCATATGTTCGGTGTGTCGATCTTTTTACGATGTGGACAGGATATTTGTTTGCTTCACTGATCAGACCTTGAAGACCGAGGCTTATTGCATGACTCCGCTCACATATTACCGACCCTTCGGTGTTGCAATGGCCTGGCCAAAGACTTTGCGTTTGGAGGCCACATGCGCGCTTTTAGGTGGCATCATTACAGGAAACGGACAATGCAGAAAGTACATTAGTAAGGTGCCGTTGTCCCTGGTTAACAAACATGAAAGAGGGCTGGCAGACAAGAGCTGCACGATGCTGCGGGAGAAGCAATCTGGCAACGTTCGTGGCGGTCAACTATTGAATTGTATCATCTCCAAGCTCTTGGGTATTTTCAAGCTCCGAGTCGAGTCGCTTGGCACGGGTTGCCAAGCCGATATTGATCAACCGCAAAATATGTTGAACAAAT